ATGTCTTTACAATTTAAAAACTCCTTGAAAAAGTTTTTTTTTGCAATAACGGACCCTATTTGCACAAATTCATAAAAGCGGACCCTGGTTGAAAGAATGTGAGTAATTTTTTCACAATTTCACGAAAAACGGACCTTTCACAAAATGTCTGGACAGACCCCTGATGATACACACTCATATGATTTTTAAAGTCTAACTTCCTATTTGAATACTTGAGATTTTTTCCCCAGGCAATTTATGGAAATCAAATATCGAGATTTATGCTCATACGATTTGAAAATTACTAATCCTGATTTGCATTCTTGCAATTTAAAATTGCCCACTTTAATTCATAATAACATGAACACTATTTTGAAATCTTGATTCATATTCTAGCATTTTTAAAATCCAATAATGCAAATTGTAAGCATGTGATTCCAAAAAGAAAAATCTTTATCAACCCCTGTACTTAATAAATAAAAATGAATTAGAATAGTTTAGCACAAAAAATAAAAGCGCATATTAATTTAATTTTGTATAACACTTACTCATCTTCATACACATTTGTTTCATTTATATAGATGGATCTCAGAGCTTCTAATTCATCTTCCAGAAAACTAAAATACAATAAAATATATATAAAAAAAATATGTAGAATTTTAAAACTAATTATCAAATTTTAAAACAAATGCTACAAATATTTACCTGTTACCATCGTCTGACGGAACTTGTTCTGGACTTTCTGCCATCCTATAATTTATAAAATATAAAACAAATTCAAATGAAATATTTTACTTGGGCAAATTTTTCACAATATTGTTTAACAAAATTTTGAGAATATCATAAAATCAATGAATATCAATAAGACAATAATACGAAACATAAAAAGATTGTAATTATGATACTTTCTGAAGCATTGATTCTGTACTAATTTCAAGAAAATATAGTTGGCAAAAGATATTTAATAAATTAATTACTGTGATTTTCTTTATTTAAATAAACTAGCTAATACATTTTCATAATATTATTGAAATTCTGAGTTAATATCATTGAGCTTTACACTTTTTGAAGCCATTACTAACAAACTCTCAAGTAAAATTAAAATAAGCACACAGAAGCATGTAATATACTTTGTTATTCTGATGAAAATAAAATGCTAAAACAAAGTTCAAATAAATCAAAACAGAGAAGGTTGCACAAGTTTTCTACTTTCACAAAAAAATAGTAAGCATTCTTTAAGAGAAAATAACTGTTAATATGTTTTTGTAAACACGGACATCAATTCCTTTAGAAAACAAGCTAGAAATGAGATGGTTATAGTACATTACAGAACCTGTTATCTGGAAATCAGAAAACCGGAGCGAAATTCGATGAATTTTCCTGCCATTTAAAAAAAAAACATTTTTTTCCTCATAAGATTTTAGGATTTTTCTTTCTTTTTTGAAAGATTTTTACCTTACCATCATTTTGGAAATAATCATTAGTGTATTACTTCATCGTTTTTTTTTTTTTCTTTTTAAGATTATTTCCAAATGTTTTTTTTTAGTTGGGTTTAACAATAAGAAAAACGGCTTTTTGTAGCGATTCAGAAAACCGGAAAAATCAGTTATCCGGAATAGCAATGGTCCCGATCGTTCCGGATAATGGGTTCCCTACTGTACTAGTTTCTCTTCTCTTCTGTGATAGAAATGTTCTATAAATGGATATACCTACTACCAAATGATCCAAAAAATTAGAGATACCAAGTTTCACTAAATTACATTAAAAAAAAGAGAAAAAAACCTGTTATTTTGCATAAATTACTTACATTTTTAAAATTAGAAAAGCTAGTGAATCATACTGAATTATAAGCATTCTGGATGCAGAAAAGTTTATTTGGCTATTTCAATTTCAGAAATCATTTTCTACACACTTTTGAATCATGATGTTTATAGATAAAGTTTATAAAAAATCCCAAGGAGACACTATAAATTTTGTTAAGTAAATGTAATTGTTATACAAATTTGTTTTGCAGAAAGTAAGCTGGCACTTGTCATAGGTCATAGTAAATCTAGACAGTACCTAGTAATTTCAAGAAGACTGATAAGTTAATATAGTAATTTATTAATATCAATTAAATTAATAAACTTTTAATCTATAGAAATAATGCACAGCATACTTCCTTAATATATTATATAATAAATAAACAAATCAGTATTTTATCATACAATACTTTTTAAAGCCGTAATTTGGCTAAATATTTTTTTTTTTAATAATTAGAACGTATTATAAATAACTTTCTAGCATTTAGGTTTTAAATTATACAGATACTGCAAAATCAGCTAATTTAAAATTTTAATTATTACATAACACTGAACCCTACACAACTAAAATACTATAATAGCAGGATGTAACATCTTGGAGATTGTAAAATACTGAGCTTTTATTGAATTTCTTCCCTACATTAATTTTACTTCTGCACGATGTAGTGAATTCTCCAACAGAACTAGGACGAATATGAATGATAAAGATCTCCTATACAACAAATATTCAGTCAAGAAAATAAATTCATCCTCATTCAAGATTATGTGAAATTGGAGAAAAAATGAACACCACATAAACAAAACATGACATAAATAACAATTACAGTCACAGTTCAAAGAGCTATTACAAAAAGAAATATTTTTTTAACACGAATATACTACAACAGCTAAAATCAATTAAATAGCACAATAAACGACAATGCTTTAAGATAAGAACAGTAATTATAAAAAAAAAAATTTTTTTAAACTAACTATAACAGAAACTATTTAAATAAATACAATAACAATGCTATAGCTAATACTTCTACCTAGTACATTTTACTACATAAAAGCTTCTTTATCGCATTAAACAAATACATGTGTTTGAATAATACTAAGTAGTTTAAAAACTATAAACAATACTTACTTGCTCAAAAAGTTTGTATTATAGACAATAACTGGAATCAAATTTTCATATTGCTCTGCTGCCTAATTTTAAAAACTTCCACATCGAAAAAGTGATGGAAGGATGATCGCTTTCATGATGTTCATCGAGCAAGCAGTTGATTGATGAATTGATGATTGGATTGATAATGATGATTTTCGCCGGTTTATAGTTCTCATTCAAAATAGCCTGTAGATGGCGCTTAAAAGAGTTAATCGGAGAATCGGGACCACTCGGTTCGGCGGAAATCTTCGTTCAGTTTGGCTAAAACCATAGCTAATATGATCCAAATCTGAATAGTTTGGTCAAGAAATCTGTTCAAAGTTTGAGGCCCTGATTTTTTACTTCATTTTTTACGTTTCTCACCATATCTCGAGAACTTTTTAAGCAAATTTAAAAATTTTGCAGACAATTATAAAATTTATTTATCTAAAGCAGTCCAAGCAAAAAATATCTTATAGTAAATATTTATTATTTTATTTAATAATAGTCAGCAAAAAGTGTGATAATAATTGTTGATAAAAATACAATTTTTTTAAAAAAATCGATTTCTCAGGAACTATTGGAGATCGATATAGGCTACAAATGACGTAAAGCCGAATTCTCTACCTATGGCAACACTTTACATGATTTTTCCATTGACGTGTGGAGAGTCATAGGAGAAGGAAGTGCATTTGTTTCTTTCTTGATTTTTAAATAGATTGTAAACTTTTAAGTAGGGAAAATATTTGGCACTGAAAACTATGTTGAACATAGTTCTAAAAGAAAGCGTTGTGAAAATGTTTGAAAAATATTTTTGACAATTAAATACGAAACATATTAAGAAAGAGGAAAATATCGTAATACATTCGTATATAGCTGAGAAGAGTAGAAAAGAGAAGGGGGTAGGGTCAAGGTGTTTTCCCTAGATGGCGTATTCGAGCGTTGAAAAAGCAAAACTTCGCCGGATTTCGCTCACATTTTTTATCTTACCATGTAAAAGTACATTCTTTAAAATGGTGTGAAAAATTTTATACTTCAATCAAAATTCTTTCGAATATTATCACATAAAATAATTGAAATAAATAAATATTTACTAAAAGTAATTTTTTGCTCGAAAATATCTTTGGATAAGCGAACATTTATAATCATGTGGAAAAAAACTTTCAATTCTCCTAAAGTTCTCGAGATCTGTTGAATTACGCAAGAGAAAAATCAAATGAACATTTAGAGAACCAAAGTTGGACAGCTTTTGTGACCAAAATATTGGACTATATTTCCCAGACTGCTAGTGCCCCTATACTGGGAGGGAGTGTCAGAAATACGAATCCACTGAAGAAATGGCATGTTATTCAGAAAAAGTACGTTTTTGTGTTTATTGAAAAACTAAAAATATTGTCTTCATTAATTAATTAGCACATTTGAGAGTGCTGCAGAAGGGAGTGCCCTGCAATATTACATCAATATGCCAAAGCAAAACATATCAATACAATAGCGCAAGGAACACTAAAAAAATTGAAACGAAAATATAACACGCCAAGTAAAAAAATATATACGAAACAAACATAGCAAAAAACAGAAAATGAAATCTAAAGAAAAAACAGAACAAAACGAAATCGATAAAGTGAGCAGCAAATTCAAATGAACCCACAGGTACAGGAATCTTTCAAGAATGATTTTAAGTATTTTTACAAGACTGCCAGACTACAGAACATGAAAACAGAAGCGCAAATAGAGGTATCTTTTACGACTTACTGCAGTACTAAAGCGCGTTTGACCTCTGTTAGTTACTTTGGATTGGCTCGAAAATGGGAAGTACGTTAGTTTCTCTCTTGATTTTCATATAGATTAAAATCTTTTAAGTCGGAAAACTATATGGAACTGAAAACTGCATTAAACATAGTTCTAAAGAAAAGCATGACAGAAATCTCAAAAAATATTTTTATTAAATAAAAAGGAAAAATACATTTTTCCTTTTTATATATCTTTCCTTTATATATTTATCCTTCTATCTATAAAATATATCTGGCCAAAAGCATGGTACCAAAGGCATGGTACCCAAGGCATTAAACCGGTCTCTCCCCAGATGGTGTATTCGAGCATTGCTATTGCCAATCGACTCAAAGAGCAACGCTCCTAACACACTTAAATTAGAAAAACGAATTAAAAACGGAAACAAAATTAAAATTAATAGTTTAACGAGAGTTAATTTTTTTTGTTTTATCCTTTTTGTCTTTATTGTGCTATATATATAAATACTACACATATACAGACATAATTCGTAACTTCACCGATTGATTTACTACGTTACGTAGTAAATCTACTACGTAACGTACCATAAAGACTACATTTCACAGTACTACGTTACTGTGAAATGTAGTCTTTATGGTGCACTCTAACTGCACCCGATTTGCATATGCAATCACGTATAATTAAGATTCGCACGTCTTACCTTTAGTTTCTGGGATTCAATTGATTATATTTTCTGTTGACAGCATATTATTAAATTGATCTTACTTCATTGTGTCAAAGATTGTATGAAATGTAAAGACATTCGTGGGCTGAATTGGCCAGTCCGGTCTCCAGATCTGAATCTGATGAAGTTTTGGAGTTCCTTGATCGACTGTTCGTTTTCTTAAACAAAACTCCACGTCATTGCACAAGTGTTAACCCATATCTGTTTCTCACTCCCCATTTCGGCACCGGAAAAATTGTACATAGTACAAAGGAGTGGATACGTTTTCTTTTCGTCAACTTTCACTTTTTATTGTACTGTTTTCTCCGAGAAAGGGTTTTTCTGCCATGTGTGCTTTTTCTATTGTAAATCCTGCTAGTGTGTAAATTTGTGTAAATTTCTATGGTGCATTTCTTCCCAGATAATCTTTTTTGTGTTTATTTTCAAACATACAGAAAGCAGGGTGCACCCTAATTTTTGGAGGCCAATACAATTAATAAGTTTAGCATTTTGTCGACTTGAATCTATAGAATGGTAATGGATTTAAATAATGTTAGATTTATACTCTACTATAAAATTTGAATAAAGAGTTTGATATAAAAACATTACTTATACGTATTTAGTTTTACACACTAAACAATTACCAAGGACTTAGTCCTATTTTTAGGGCTTTATCTTTTAACAGCGTGATAGGCGTGCCATGTAATTTTGAACATGGTAGGCGACGTGGACAGCACCTGAGCTGGTACCCCTCCCTCCAAATTTCCCCACCATAGCCAACGAGAGGACTATCTGCCACGACAGATTTAGAGTGCATCTTAGTGCCTATAGACGCCGATTTAGTGGGATGCCAGGATCAAATTTACAATCCCAGCTCTCCACTAGCGGTATGAATGATGCCTTGTCCCCCAGAGCTCTTATTAAGTTTTACTTCAGGGTATCTAAAATGAACTACTATTTATAAATTAATTGGCAAATATAAGAAATGCTTTGAAATAGTAAACACTGCGATTAAACATGTAAACAGATTTAAAGAACAATTCAGCAGTCAGCTTTTCTACTATATGACATTATTTGAAATAAAATTTTCATCGTTGGTGCTATGTAAAAACTAAAGATACATGTAGATATTTGATTTTATTTATTCATTGGTTAATTGAGAAATACAAACGAACTATTGTTTTAAAAATTATTTTAAAATTCAATATGGGCCTCTGTGACTTAAAGAAAACTTATTCAAGTAATTATAAATGGAGATACATTTCTTTAAAGTAAGTTGTAAAAAACGTAAATTTAAAAGTAATTTTCAGTGAAAATTTTTGAAAAATAATTAGAAAATAGTTGAATTGATCTGAAAATAATTTTATTCCAAACAAAGTGAAAATTTTTTAATTATCTGTGTACATGCGATTTTACTAATGTCAGAAATTTTTAATGACTAAAAAACTAAACAGTGAACAAATGTCATGATAAGTTCGAAAATCCTACTTATCTGTTTGCACAAGCAAAATCCAAACCCCACATCGATAGTCAATATCGCCGATGTTGGTGAGGGAAAAAAATTCCGAAAAACAGGTGCACAGACAAGGGTGCCGACAGAATAATATAAAAGGGGGTGCAACCCTCTAACAAACTACCCCCCCCCCGCAAAAAAAAATTGAAAATATTCTGTTATTACATTTTGTTTTGTTATTACATATACTTTCATCTGTTAATTTTTTTCAAGACACATTTTTTCATTGTTAACAAGATATTTAAAAAGAAAGGTATGGTACGAAATGTGGAGGAATAGTGAAAATTCTTATGAATCCCTCGAATACATCGATTTAGTTATTGAGGCCACACCGTTTTATCCAGCTGTGTTGTTGATACTTATCCCCTTGGTATAGAGCCCTAGACCAAGTCCAGAAGATCGTGTCGCATCAGCAAGTCATAAGCAGTCTCTCCATCACTCATCAGTTGCCTCACAGAGGCATCAATGCAATCAATCAGTATCTAGCTGTAGCGGAGGCAATCAAAATTGGCCTAACTCTTCCAGCTACTACGTGCACTATTGAACGCACCTTTAGTACAATGAAACACATCAAAATATGGAATCGGTCTACAGTGCCTCACGAGAGATTAAGTAGTTTGTGCATGCTCAGTGTGCATAAGAAAAGAATCAAAGATGACTCAGAATTCATTTAAAAATTTATAAACAGATTGGGACAGCTAACAAGACGATTACAATTCTTGTTTGATTAAACAATTTTTTAAATGTTACGTATCAATAATTACTTAATTATTTGTTTTTGAATAAAAATATTTGTAATAAAAAAATTATTATACTCTATAATTGCTTATATAAAAAAGCCAGAGGGTTGCAACTGCACCCCCTTGCACCCCGCTGCCGGCGCCCTTGTGCACAGACATTACATATCAGTATTCTTAATTTCCTTTGAACAGACTATTTCTCCCAGATAAAAGTAATGCACAGTAGACTTCCATAATTTTAAAATAAACTAAATTTATTTTAATTATTATGCTAAGTACATGGGCGTTTTCAAGTTTCAAGTTTATTTATATTCAGGGTCCTTTTTGTATAATTTCGTTCAAAATTAAAAAATATCAAATTTTGAGTTATTTTAAAATGTAAATTTAATGCAAGAATTAAAAAGAAATAAAATATTTTTTTTTACATAAGGATTTAATATTTTATTTATGTATAA